ACGCCCCCCCCACCCTCCCTGGAGAAGAAGAGGTTGGCTTTTTTCCTGCTAATGCTGTAGACTTCAGGGGTTGGTTGTTATCTTTGGTTATCTAGCTGTATGAGTGGTGTCAATTCTTCATAAAGCTAGATAACCGAAAGTAAAAATAACCCCATTACACGCCTGAGGAGGATGTGGAGAAGAAAGGAAATTCATCAAAAGGAAGAGGAGGAAAAGAAAAAAAAAAGAGAGAGAAAAAAAAAGAAATGGAGAAAAAAAAAAAAAAAAGAAGAGAAAGGAAATGAGAGGCGGAAAAAAAAAACTGGGGAAAAAAGACAACTTTTTGAGACTGGAATTAAAACCCGAGGTAGGATTTTTTTTTTTTTTTTTTTTTTTTAAAAAAGAACCTATTTGCCTCCTTTGATTTTAAGAAAGAGTTTAATGATTCTGTGCATGTGAAGAAAACGTCTGTCTTGAGAAAGACGAGGATGTTGCCGCTCTGTCCTCGGCCGTTAGCTGTAATTGAATTAACAAAGTAAAACTTCCAATCAGATTATGAATTAGTTAAGTCCAGGACCCAGACTCCAGAGCAAGGATGAACTTTCATTGCGTAACCACTCGTAGAGCATCAGAGAACCCATAAATCAATACAGATTACGGTGTTGGATTATCTGTTTAATAAAGCAGCAACAGAGCAATGTTTATTAATGGTTGGTTTGCGAATACGAGTGCTGGGTTCTTTTTCCTTTCCCTTTTTCCTTTCCCTTTTTCCTTTCCCTTTTTCCTTTCCCTTTTTCCTTTCCCTTTTTCCTTTCCCTTTTTCCTTTCCCTTTTTCCTTTCCCTTTTTCCTTTCCCTTTTTCCTTTCCCTTTTTCCTTTCCCTTTTTCCTTTCCCTTTTTCCTTTCCCTTTTTCCTTTCCCTTTTTCCTTTCCCTTTTTCCTTTCCCTTTTTCCTTTCCCTTTTTCCTTTCCTTCTTCTTCTTTTTTTCCTCCTCCCTCCTATCTTTTATATATTCATTTTTTTCCCTGACAGATATAACTTGAGAGCAGGATTAGAAAGAAGGATACGGTGATTTGGGAAATGGTTTCTTTGCAGTTTTCTTTGTTTTTCTTCCCCAGTACCTCTCTCCAAACGCTTTCTTTCTTCTTTTAACCCTTTGTCTATGAACATTTCTCTGAATGGACTCAAGATTCCAAGATCGGGGATTTACAAAGACAAAAAAAAGCCCCCATATATCTAACTTGTATATGAAACCACATGAGACTAAATGGGGAACTTGATTTTTGTCTAATTTATCCTCTCTGCAAATTCATGCTGGTCCTTACCCCTTTCACTGGATTATGTGTCAACCTCTTCCTTATGGAAACTGAGATTTTTTTTAAATTTTTTTTTTTTTACCTGTTCTACTGTTGAAGGGAATTTGGGGTCAAAGAGGTGAAACTGGGTGCTTCCCGCTCGCTTTTAGTGGTTAGACTGGTTGCTTTAGGTGCCACCTGCCAGACACAGCCACCTCTTTGGAAAGGTGTCTTGATGTTGCTTAGAAGAACACAAAGATCTTGGGCTGGATTAAGATTATATGTCACCTCAGCACGGTGATCCCGAGGGGAAAAAAATATCTATATTTCATTATAATAAAGAACAAATCGGGGTGGCAGCACTTGAACGAATTTTGGGAAGGAGCTATTATAGAATTGCAATTTTAGGAAAAGCCTCTTGTGAGAGATGTAGAAAAAGAGCTTTTGACTTTTGACCTGTGCTGGACCCGCTCGTTTCACCCGCTCGGTTCTCTCATGTGCTCATAGGGATATTTTTATTATTAAAAAAAAAAAAAGGCAGAAGACATTGTCCCCGACACCTTGTCCAGGGAAAGGCTCTAGTTCTGGCTGTAATGTGAAGGAGTTCTCCTCCTCATGTAATTACTTTCAATTAATAAATGAGACATTTTTTTTCCTCCCGCACCCCTGGCCCCATAATTTGGAATAACTCAGTGCTTGTGTTGACTCTTTGGAACGATCTGCTTGGGGAAAGCTTTGGGAAAAACTCCTTTCTGCCTTCCCTTTGAGGTTCACCTGGTGCTGCTATTGTTCCTGGTGCTGCTCCTGCAGCCGGCGGTGACAGGGACGTAGGGAACTTTTCCAGGCTCTTCTTTTATCCCTTCTTCTCCATTGCCTTGTGCTGCTCCTCCCTTGGGTGAATGCAAAGAGCCACTCTTCTGGCCTGGTGGCTTGTCCCCAGCTGGAGGGGGACATTGGAGGGCAAGAGAGAACCTTGCCTTGCTCAGAGCATCTGAGCCTTGGTCCATGGAAGTGGGGAGAGCATCCTTCATGGAAGGAGGAAGAGCTTGGTCCATGGAAGGAGGAGATCCTCCTCCATGGAAGTGGGGAGAGAGCTTGGTCCATGGAAGGAGATCATCCTCCATGGAAAGCGGGTAGAGCTTGGTCATGGAAGGAGGAGATCATCCTCCATGGAGGGGGAGAGAACTTGGTTCCATGGAAGGAGGAGGTCACCCTCCATGGAACTGGGGAGGGAGCATCCTCCATGGATGCTTGCACCCCAAGCTTCTTATGGGATGAAGCTGGACACCCTTGGCTTTGGTGGCAGCAGGATGTCACCGCACAGAGCTCTCCTCCTTCATCCCTCCAGAGCAGACCGAGCTGGGAGGAGAATGGTTGATGGTTGAACCGGTGTCCACTAGGCCCATGGGCTAGGATGTCTTTGTGGATGGACACCGGCATTGAGTGGTTGCCCATAAGTCCTCTTGTGAAGGGGTGCGGTGGCTCGCCCAGGGACGAGGGACTTTTATTGTTGGGTGAGCACTGGTGAGCTGCCATGTGCCACCCACCATTGGCCGGTGGCTTCGTTCAAGGGGGAGAAAAAATCGCCTTTTGTCCAATCAGGGGCTGGAAGCGATGCTGTGTGATCATCTTTGGGTGCTCCTGGGTGACCAATCCTGGTGTGTGCGGGGCCGTGGCGGCACCGCCATAGGCTGGCGTTGGATGGTGTCACCTCCTTGGGTATAACAAAGGGACCAGCAGGAACGGGGGGATGTGAACTGGGATGAGGGTGAAGCTTGGAATTTAGCAACCTGGAGCGTAGGGAGCCTGGAGCAGGAGGTGCCCGTGTTGGTTGGTGATGGAGGGGATGGGTTTAAACCCATCGTGCCCAACCCAGCTCTCCAGAGCTCCCTCATCTCACTCCCCATTGCAATAAGCGCCCTTTAAAATGGTTGTGAACCCCCCGTTCTTCTCGGGGACAAGGTGACACCGCGGGGCTAGAGCATCTCCAGGTCTTCACCCATCCCTTGGTGCTCCCAGTTCACTCTGGCAGGGCGAACGGGAACCAGTTTGACCCACTCACTGGGTCCTCTGGGTTTCTTGGCGCCGCGAGCTTTCCCTCAGGTCCCCGAACCGGCTCAACGTGCGGGTGGAGATTTCTTTTTTTAATTGGGATTTTTGTTGGGGTGGGTGATGGTTCCCAGGACAGTCCCCAGCCCAGGTCTCTCTCCGTGGGGGTGGTGATTTCTTTTTAATTCAAATTTTCGTTGGGGTGGGTGACAGTTCCCAGCGGCGAGGCTTTCTCAGAAGCCTTTGGGAACACCAACTGGAATAGTCTGGCAAAGAGCTGATTTAGTAGTATTATTTTTATTTTTTTTTCCCCTTTTCTCCCCCGTTTGCTGCAAGGGCACTAAGGAATAAGGAAGCCCGGCGTGTTGGCGTGACGTTGATCCAAATTGCAGCGAACGTGTGGCCGTTTAAGCTGGCTTGGACACTGTGATGTGACTGGTTAACACTCAGCACTGTCTGCTCCGCTCTCCCTTACGGCTGCGTAACCGCTGGGGACGTTCAGAGGAGACGCGCTCGCGTGTTCTCCAGCGAGAGATCAGCCCTGCACATTCCTGTCCGTGCTTAGAAGCAGGGCGTTTTGGGGGGGGGGGAAAAAAAGAAAAAAAAATTTAAAAATAGGAGCAAATACTCTACCAATTTTTTCTACGGTTGGGTGAGTCATTGGGAAGAACCAGCCTATACAAATAGAATTATTGAAAATTATGAATTTCATTCAATCTATCGCTTTCATCTAGGAAGGAGCTGGTGACTGAGTCGCCTTGAGCTCTCATATTCAATGTTTGTCCTGGGGATGCAGAAATTGAGCCCAAAGCCCCTTCGCACCCCTCGCATCGTCCGGGCGACGCGCGGTGGCCTGCACGGTGGGTCGGGGGGCTGGAAAACATGTAGAAATACTCCCCCTGCTCGACGCTGCCAGTGGATATTAACTTTTTCTTTGCGGAGGACAAAATATTTCTGTGTTTTATAAAATAGTATTAGCAAATTCTCAGCCTCAAACAGTGAAAAATAGTTAAATTTAAAAAAAAAAAAAAAAAAAAATCAGGATTTTTTTTTCTGTTTGGGGGAAAGGAGGCATTTCCCAACTGAGGGAATTTTCTGCTGGCCCCTTTTTGCAATTTTAAAGCGAAAACAAAAGGAGGCCCTGGTGGCTCCAGCCCTTCCAGGTCTCCGCAGAGCGGGAATTGCCCCTTTCCCTCCCCATCCTCTCCCTCCCGTGGGCCCCGCGCGCTCCGGGCCGGGCAGGTGTGGCACGGTGGCCACAAAGAAATCCTGTAGAAATACCATAGATATGTCTGTGTATCCATAGATTTTCGAAATATAGAGATATACTTCCTTCCTCCAAGCGCTCGCAGCTGGGTTTGAGCGGGAGATGGGATGGTTTTAAGGATGCTCTTGAGGTGTCAGGGTTGGGGGATGGTGGTGGTTCACTCTCAGCATCGCTCCCAGCTGGTTTTGGGGTGTTGGGTCCGTGCGATACGGGGTGCTGGCCACCCCATCAGGCTGGGTTTTGGGGGTGATCGCTGAGAAATCGGTGAAGCTTCTACCTCCAGGGGTCAAAAATCTCTTATTGAAGCCTCCAGGCGCCGGACCGGGGCTGAGAGGAGCCCGTCTTTGTGCCGGGAGCAGAGTCTTTCCTCTCCCAAACAATCAGGGCTTCAAAAAACCCCGGAGGGTTTTCAAGGGACCGATTTTTATGTCGGGATTATGATAAAAGCGGCTGAGTGGGCGCGTTAAGCCGCCATCCGAATCAGATCAGGCCCTGCTTTAATTTCTGCAAGTGTGTGGGAACGGAGTCTGGGGGGGAGTGTGTGTTGGGGGGGGGTGATGCTCAGAATTCACCTTGGGCTGAGCTCAGGACCCCCCCAGTTTGGAGCAGACTGGGGTGCAGGTCTGGTCGATGATGGATTTGGGGTGTCCAGCACTGGTCAGGAGCAAAAAGAAGAGGGGATTTCTCAAATCCCACCACCCCCCTCCCCATCCCAGGGTGCAAACGTGGTGCTGGGTGTCCAGCTCCTGCATCCTGCCCCGGAACGGGGGGGTGTTGGGGGGTGGGGGGAGAAGAGGTGGAAGGAAAATGATGATCTCTGTGGTCTCTCGGCCGGTGGCTGAGATGCAGCCGGGGTGATTGGATGTGAAAGCGGAGCCGCCGTCCCCCTCCGTCACCATGGGAGCTTGTGCTGGTCCAGGCTGGTGTGACAGCCGCCTCAGCGTGGCCGGGGAGGAGAGGGAAGGGGGGGGAATGACCCTAAAAATAGTCCTGGGGCTGCATTCCGGTGTGCCCTGCGGGGTTTTCAGGGATGGAGATAGGAAGGGACGTGCGTGTGTGAGTCCCGACACCTCCCTGCTCGAGGGAGGGGGGAAACACTGGGGAAAGGGTGAGAGTGATGGGCTTGGAGCAGGATCTGGCCACCGGCAAAGCTGTGGTGGCCACTTTAGTTTTGCAGAAGTCTTCCTCAGGAGCCCTGTGCCAGGCACGGAGGGACCCCCTGGATCCCGGTGTGGGGCTGGGGAGGGTATCCCTATGTACTGGGGGGGCTCAGATGGGTGCTCCTGGTTGAATCCAGCACTGGTTATCGGTGGATCACGGTCTTGTGCTGGTGAATAACTCTGGGATTTATCCTGCTGAGACCAGACCTGGCCCTGGCATCTGTAGCCGCCGAGCTAAGCTGTGTAATCCTCCCCCAGCGCTGACGGCCGCGGCCTGAGCCTCGGCTTTGACAGCCCAGCCTAGGTGTAAAAATCATTTTAATTCCGGTTTTAGTAGCGCTCGGAGCAGGGACAAAGTGGGGGGTAGTGCCAGGATGAGGGAGCACCTTCACGGGGTGCATCCGCTGGGTTTCCCACCTTGGTCTCCTGAGATGAATTTTTAGGTGGAGGCACAAAGCGGAGCTCGCTCTGGGACAGGGAGAAAATGCAGGCTCTCAGAGAGGGGAAAAAAAGCTGATTATTAAATGCTGGGAATGAAAAAAAGCCTAACTTTTCACTGGTGGGGTGGGGTGTCTTTGCCCTGAGCCCCACATGTGGCTCTGGGGGGGGTGTTGGCTCATCCCATGGCTTTGCATCGCTTGGGTCCAAGCAGGGAAATCAGGTTTAATGTGACCTTCAGCAGATTCCTGCCTGCTGGAGGCTCAAAACTCATCCCTTGAGTAGGAAAAAAAAAAAAGAAAGGAAAAAAAAAAAAGGTTTTGTGGTTCAGTGTGTGAACTGCAGGGAGGGGGAAGGGGGTCCCCAGATCCACATCGCTCTTTCAGAGGCACCGGGTGCTCTTTGGAAAGGAGGGAGAGCTCTCCCCGCTTTGTTTCAGCCCTTCCTCCCCCTTGGGCTTTTAGAAAATACCTGCTATTTTAGGTAAGAGCTAAATATTCAGCTTTTTCTGCTCTTTCACAGGAGCAGATCGTTTGAGGGATTCCCGGGCTGAAGGGGCAGGGATGCATCTGGGCCAAATAACCTTTTCTCTGGCACCAGCAGGCACCAGCTGCTCAGGAGGAAAGTGCTTGAAACCCTACAATTATGGGATAATGTATTCCAAGAGAGAGTTTCTCGGCTTCCCTTCCCCGAGCTGGAGAGTTTACATCCCCTCCCCGATCCTTGGAAAAACGTCGCTAAACTTGGATGTCCTTGTCACCCGCCCCTCGATGGTGCCGGGAGCGGGGACATCCCGCAGCGGCCACGAGCAGGAGGGAATAAAAAAACCCACCTGAATTTTCTAATATTGGCTTTGAATTTTCCCCCTATGCTTCCCAGTTTTGGGAGAGGACCAGCATCTTTGGGAAGAGCTGGAAGTGCAGCCGCGCAGGGAGTCGGTGGGGAAGCCGTTGGGAATTAGGGATATAACTTGGATTGTTCAAGGGAGTTGGGCACGTAATTCATTTGGGAATTTTGAGTAATTCAGAGGAGTTTTCTACCTGCTGGGGCTTTGACCACCTCTCCCCAAGGCTGTGGGGAGGTCTGGGGGCTTGGGATCCTTTGCCCGATGGGTACCATCAGGACAGGTGGCCCCAGGGCCACCGATCCACCTTGGGGTTTATCCCCAAAATCACCTTCTCTGAAGGATTTTCTCCCTTCTTCCTCTTTGTTTTGGCTTTCAACAACAAAACCCACCGAACTCCTGCCTGATTTATTTATTTATTTTCTTTTTTAAATGAAAAAAAAAAAGAAGTTCTTTTTCATCTTAAACCCACCCACCTCTAGGAGCACCAGCAGGGTTGGGTGGCTTTTTGGAGGGAGAGCTTTTCCAAGGGGCTGTGCCACCTTCCTGCCACTTTCTGCTCCAGACCGATCGCTTATTTTCGGAGAAGAATTGAGGAAGAGGAGGCCTCGGCTGAGGTTTTTGCCGGCACCGGGGCAAGGCCAGGGCAAAGGCAGGTTGCCTCCCTCCTCCAGTGCAAGGGATGGCCACGGAGCAGGTTGCCATGGAGAACTGGGATTATTCTGCGCGTGTGTGCGCCGGGGCTGGGGGGGAACATCGCAATTTCTTTATCTTTTGATGATTTTTTTTTTTTTTTTTAAATAACCACCCGAAACACTCGCGCTGGAGCTCGACGCCGTCGGCTCCCCCGACCTCGGGACCCTCCAAACCCCGTCCCCTCCTCCCTTCCTTCTGCAGCCCCAGCTCCTGCACCAGCTCCTCCACCGGGCTCTTATCTCCAATAATCCCCCCGTAAGAGGGCTTTCTGCTTGTTATGACACCCAGTGAAAGCGTGGGAGAAAGATCCTTTCTTCGCCCTTGTCCTCCACAGCCAGCCACTAGCCTGAATGGGAGGCTTTTTTGTGTCTCTGTGTGCCTGACTAATTGAGCTGAAGGACTTGCGTCTGGAAGGGCTTGAAAGGGACTTTTGTTGCCGCTGCGGAGTTTGTGGAAGGCGAATGAGCCCTGCTTTCTTAGGGGACGCGGGTCCTGGGCAAATTTGACTCTCGAGTGCTCACGCCTCCTGGTTCTTTGGGAAAATTAGAGGGGGAAAAAGAAAAAAAAAAAAAAAAATGGGCTTGGGGTTTTGTGGTTTTTTTTTTTTTGTTGGTTTTCTTTTTCAGGGCATCCCTTGGAAAATTAATTCTAGCTAAAAAAAAAAACTCCGGCCCGGCCAAGGTTGGTGAGCTGGCTTTAAAAAAGGGCATGGTGAGATGAGCTGAAACCAGTTAAAAATAGCCCGTCAGGAGCCTCTGCCTCCAAAAATATCAGTATTGAGAGCCTTCGCCTCCTGCTTTTTTGAAGGCCCAATAATCAAGGCTCAAATCCCCTCTGTGATCCCAGGGGAAATTGTTTCGTGGTCCCAGGCTGCTTCCACGTCCCGTGGGGTCCTGATGAGCATCGTCTGTCACGAGGTGGTTTGAGTCAGCGTCGCAAAATTCTCCTTTCCCTCTTGCCCTTTGCAGGAATGGTGAAAACTCAGGATTTTCCCTAAAAGTGCTTTAATTAGCGCTCGGTGTGGGGTTGTCCCTGGACGACTCCTGGCACATGGGAGCGGGCAGGAGGGAAGCCTTCTGCTACCTATAAAAGCCCCAACCTCCAGATTTTTCTCAAAAATACCCACAAAGGTCCTTCTTGGTAGGAAAACCAAGAGTTTTGGGGACTTTAAAGACTCTTTTCCATTGGGAATAATGGTTTGGGGCACCTGGCTGGAGCCTTTGGGGATTTCTACCCCTGGTGGTGGCTCCTGCTGCCCTTTGTCCCATCCCAAGGACTCAGTGCTTCCACGTGTCTCTGTTCAGGGTGTTTTCTTCCTCCCTCACTAAATTTTCATGGTCTGAGGTTGGATTCACTCAAAAACCACCATCGCTTTCTCCCAGCCCATTTTTTCCCCTTAGAGAAAGCCCCGCACAAAGTCCAGTGCTTGAGCATCCCCTCTGGAAATCTTGCAAAACAGGGAAAAAAAGGAGTTTTTTGGGGGGAAAACCAGGCCTTTTTTGGCAGAAAACAGCCCAGCAAGTGGGGAAAGCTGGTGGTAGAAATTGGGAAGAAAGTGGCTGTTTGGGGGATGCTCGGCTGCCCCAGCACCGGTGGCTTCTCTTGGGACGTGCAGCCCTTGGGCCTTGTCGAGAAGCAGCTTGAAATACGTCAACAAATATGTTTCTTTTGTCTTTTGGGTTGGTTTTCTTTCCCCCCTCTTATTTTTCCTTCTTTCCAGCCATATCGCAGAGCCCTCCGCGCAAGGAATCGCTGTCAAAGCTGCCAGGCTCCATTCCACCCCCTGTGTGGATAAACACTCCCAGCGTGTGTCGTTTGGCAGGAGGTTTCTAATGCAAAGTGATTAAAACATTTTGAAAGTTGAAATTTTTTTTTCTTTTTTTTTTTTTTTCTTTTTTTAATGGGGTGGAGACGTAGAGGCTTCCACGCCACCTCTTGTTTTTCTTCCCCTTTTCCCCCTGCCCAAAGATTGCAGCTGGTGCCTTATGGGCTGCAAAAAGGCCAGAGTTTCCCAAGGCCAAAGAGTTGGTGGGAAAAAAATAAATGGGGAAAAAAACCAGAGAAAATAGGTTTGAAAAAGATGTGAATAGCGAAATTTGATAGAGAAAGGTGGTGAAGGAGAAAAGATGGGAATGAATGGGAGCCCTTTAAAAATATATATATATTAAAAAGAAATTAAAAATCACTTTGGAAAATGGTGCCGAACCCCTCTTTCACGTGACTCCGTGAGGGAGGTTTTAAAAAAATTGAGCAATTTCTGCGACAAACTTGACCCAAACTGGGTTTTCTCTCCCGCAGCCCGAAGCCCCGTCGACTGCAGCTCCGGGGGATGCCTTGGCCACCAGGTATTTGCTGAGTGAACCCCAACCGGTCCCTGTCCCGGGTAAAATGACAATTTAGATGCTATTTGTGTGCTCGTGAGGAAGCATCGGAGAAGTTTGCTTTCTCAGCGCTGCCATATGATAATGATGGGCCCTATTAGTCATTAGCAATAAGTAGCTGTCGGCGCGAACGTCGCCGCCCGGGCACAGCACCCACCAGCAACCTCTGTTCCTCATCCTACTTGGCTTTCTCTGCCTCCATTTATTATTACTTTCTAAAAAAAAATATAATTTCCAATAATTATTCTTAAAAAACCCCACCCCTTTCCAGTTTTGGGGTTGTGTGTGAGCTTGGAAATCAGGGCTTGGAGTCAACCCCAGTTGAAGGGAGAAGCGCGAGGCTCCCGATGCCAACCTGAGAGCTGTGCTGGAGGCCAGAAGACAAAGAAACCCAAATTACTGGAGGGCTGGGGCTTAAAAAAAAAATATTATTTTATTTATTTCTTTATCCCCCCTCATCTTTTTTTAATAGGAAAGGAGCTGACTCACTTTATTTATATTTTTTTTTATTTTTTTTTTTTTACATTTAAGCTTTGCCAAATCACTGAATATTTTACTCTCTGCAGAAGCCTTGCCAGGCTGGGACCTGCTGAGATCAGATTAATGAAATAAAAAGGCTTTATTTTTTTTACAACTGGCCAGTAGTTCTGGGTTCCTGCATTTCAGAGCGTGCTGGGCCGCCTTTAAAACAATCATTTTTATGGCTTTTCTCACCAAACCTCCTAAAATTTGGGAAATTCTGGCCTTGGCACACATTATTACTCCTGCCCCCAACAGCTTCCAGTTTAAATAATAAGAGTTTTTTGAGCAGATGGGAAAAAAAAAACAAATGTGGGTATTGGAATGAGCTATAGAAAATAACAGAAAAACTAGTTGGTTTTAGTGCAGATGAGGCATAATTCTTAGGCAAACCACAGCAATAATATTAAAATGTGCTATTATTGCTAATCGATAACGGCCTTGCTATAAAATATTTAGAATTATGCAATGCCTCTATTTCTCCCCTTTCCAGCTCATTGTCATATTCATCATTCCCTACGTTTGGCGCGTGGGAGGTTTTTGCACCCGGGATTTCTCCCCTTTTTGCTTCCCGGGAATCGAGGCCTTGGCATTTTTTGGGGCTGGGCTGGGGAATTGGGATTTTTTTCCAGATTTTTTCCTGAGGGCCACGTCCTCCTTTCCGAGGCACCCGGAGCATCCCGGGATGGGTGACGGGGACGTGGATGGGGACCCCGGAGGGAAAGGGGCTCCCCCAGCGCTGGGCGAAACTCTGCCATTTTATTTATTTAATTTTTTTCATCGATGCGAAAGCCAGAAAAATAAAAACCCAATCCCAAAGCATGGGATTTTGGTGCGTTTTGTGCCATTTTCCCCAGCAGAGGAGGAGGCAGTGGCTCCCTGCCCGTCCCGGCGAGGGGGTTGGATGTAAATAGCCGAACCCTCGTGGCTGCCATGACCCTTCGCCGATGCACCGCGGGGAGGGTTTCACCTTCTGCCGGGAGCGGCCTGCTTTTCCCTTCCTTTTCTTTATCATTCTTTTTCTTCTTCTTTTTTTTTTGAATTAATATTTTCCTTTTTTTGTTTTCTTTTCATTTTTCTTTTTCCTTTTTTTTGTTTTCCTTTTCCTTTCTTTTTTGTGTATTCCCTCTTCTTTTTTCTTTTCCTTTTTCTTTTTGTTTTCCTTTTTCCTTTCCTTTTTTTTTGTTATTTTCCTTTTTCTTTTTTTTTTTTTCCTTTCATTTCTTTTTTTTGGGGGGGTTTTGTTTTTTGTTTTTCCAATTCTGCATCTAAGCCTGCTTTGTCTTGTTTCCTGCCGGCGCGTTTAACGAAGGGGCAGCCGCTCCCACGCCAATGGGCTGCTTTTTTTGTTGTTGTTTTTGTTGTTGTTTTATTTTTTTTTTCCTTGATGCTTTGTGGCCCCCAACACCCTCCCTGGGGACCGTGGGGTGCCCCCCAAGGGGTGTGGGTCTGGGGTGCCCAGGGATGGACGGGGGAACACAAAGCACCAAGGAAGACATAGGGCTCTTGTTATCCTGGTCGTGCACGAAAGAGTTAACCCATTAGAAATTCCGAGCCCTTCTTCCGATAGTTAAACCTGATTTGCATGCATTTGCATAATGAATGTCATTTGCATTCTTGGAGGTTGGCTACTTCTGTGGGAAAAGTCAAAGCGGGATTGCGGGGAGGGCGAAGGGGGGTCGGCGAAGAAAGAAGGGAAGATTTTTTTTCCCCGCACCCCACGCGCATCCCTGCCCCTCGCCCTCCTCGCCCAAATGCTCTTTTTTTTTTTTTTCCCTTTTTTCTTTTTTTTTCCCCCCCATTTTTTCCCCCCTTCCTCGATGCCTTCCTGCCTCTCCCTTCCGCAGGAGGCACAAAAGCCAACGGGCGGATGGGCCGCGTCCAGGCGAAGCGCATCCTTTTCCCTCTTTTCCCCCCCTCTTTCCCCTCCTTTAATTTCTCCCTCTTAATTCCATCTTGGCTCCCGTTCCCGGCGCCCTCGCGTGAGGGGAAAGACGGGGGGGCTGCAGCCCCTCTCCCCCCTCCTCGTCCCCGCGGGTGCATGCGTGTTGGAACGGTAGCAGAAAAGGGGAAGGGATAAAAAAAAAAAAGAAAAAAAAAAAAAAAAACAGGTGGGAGCCACCATTTTAGGCAGCCGACGTGTAAAATGGCCGATTCTCTTCCCCCGGCCTTGGCCTTCGCCAGGCGGGCGGTCGTGTCCTCGCCGCGGCCCCGGGGACGGGGATGGTTGCCACCCGCATCCCCCCCCGGGTACCCCGTCCTCGCCGCGGGGGCCTTGGGCTCCGTGGGGGCCACAGACCCCGGCCTCGGCCACCGGGGTTTGCCTTTTCCCGCCAGCGATGGCCACGGGGCGTCGTGGCCACGAAACCACCCCCTTTGGCCACCAGCAAAAGGCCAACCCGCGCCCCAAAATCAACCTCCTTTTGTTTCACCTTCCGTTTTTGCAAAGGCGACGTACATTTGGTTTTTTTTTTAACCAGATTATTATTATTTTTTGAATTATTATTATCATTTAATTCATTATTATATATATTTTTTTAAATTATCGTCTCAAACGACCCCCGCGCCACATGGGGATAGGGTGGGTTTTGAGGCTCGGCTGCTGAATTTTTTCCCCGTCGCGATAAAAGCCATTTAATTCTTTGTGTGTTGCGATAGTATCCGGGAAAGCGCTGCTTAATTATTTAATTAATTTTTATTTTCCGCTTTTTTGGACTAGAAAAATTCAACAGCATTCAGCTGTTGTTGAGACCATTTTACAGCTGTTTACCAGGAGGAAAAAAAAGAAATCGATGTGAAACACAAGCAAATTCGTCCCCTTCTTGTTTGAGATGAGCAGAAGCTTCGCCTGGTCCAGCCGATTTTTTTGGGTACGAAATCACTGCACTAAGGTTAAAATGAGAGAAGGGGGGGGAAAAAAAATCACTTTGTACAACATACAACCTGGTGGGGTGTGAAGCGGTTAATTTTACTACAGCCCTTGAAATATTTTGGGGTGTTTTCAGCTGAAGACCGGGTTGAGGGAGGGTTGTGGTTTAGGTGAAAATCCCGGTGTTCCACGAGGCCGGTTTGTTGTTCCTCCGCGTTTCTCCCCATCCCTCGGTTGCCATGAGACCCAGAAACTTGAAAGCTGAGTGAGTTTAACCCCGGTGCGACGGGGATTTTGGCAGCAGATTAAAAATAACCCAAAAATTTATCCTTGGAAGAAAAAGAAATCAAAATAAATTTGATTTTTTTTTACCTTTTTTTTTTTTTTTTTTTTTTTTTTCCTGGTTACCAGTGCCCAAAATGTGCCTGACTGGGGTGGTCCTCATGGGGAATCGCTCTCTGGATCAACCCTGGTGGTGTCTATAAGGTGGGAAGACACCAGGGAAATGGTCACCGTCACCATCACGTCCCTTTCGGTGGCCTCGGCCGCTGTCCCCAGGGACGGTGACGTGGGGTCCCTCCAGCTGGCAGGGCCCCCCCTTCGGCAGATCCAGCCCCCGCTGCCCAAACTGCCTCGTTCAGGAATGGGAAATACTTCCCCAAAAGCTCGCAAAAAATGCACTAAGGCTCTTAGCTATTTGGCTAAGCTGCCTCGACTTAGTTGGTTTCTCACTGCTTTTATTTATAACCTTTGGTCCACGCTGGGGGATATATTTTTTTCTTCTTTTTTTTTTTTTTTTTCTCCTCATTTTTTTTTTTTTTTCCTCATTCTCACCCCAGGTTGGGTCACATTGATGGGCTGGAAGGAGGGGACGGGTCTGGGCATCCCTGCTCTGCTCCCACCAGCGCCACTCGCTCGCCATCCCCTAATTTCCACAGAATCGGATTCTCTCGCTGATTTCTGTAGCGTTATCAATGATTTATGGGACTAATGGGCAGGAGAAAAGGCTCTTTCTCTGGCCCAAGCGCCTGCCTTTATTAAACGAGCCAAGTAAATCCTGCACGGGGCGTTTAAATTGCCGTGTAGCCTGTGAATAGCCCTGGATGAAAGCAGAGTTTATACAGATGAAAAAAAAAATAATACATAAAGTGAATTTTAATATGATATTAAAATAAAAAATAATTCTCTAAGGGTGCTCCAAAGCAACCCGGAGCAGCGCCCAGTGGCACGAGGGCTGAGGATGCTCAGGTTTTTGTTATTTTTAGGCAGGGATGGGTCCCTCTCGATGGGTCCCCCCCAGCTTGGGGCAGCCCCACCAGATAACCCCCTCCTTGACCACAGAGTGCTGCTGGGCTTGGGTTTGGATTCCAAGTACCACGGAGCAGCCCCTGCCCTGTGAAGGGAGGGAAACCTGGAGAGCACAGCTCCCCAGAGGGAAAATTTTAAAAAAGAAAAAAAAGAAAAAAGTGTTTTTTTTTTTAACTTAGATTCGTAGTTTTCGGTCCTGCCTCGTAATTTTTGAATACTTGGGGTTGGCAGGATTGGGACAGCACCCCAGCAGGATGCTGGCTGGCACCAGGCTCTGTGGGGACGAGGGACAGCGATGGGGCAATGAGAGATTTCCCCTATTTCAAATCCCCCCAACTCCCCCCCCGGAGCAGATTCCGGCTCCTCTTGCTCCCTACGGAGCTAAAAACCCTCTGGAGTATCTCCACAGGGCTCGGGTTTTGTAAGGATGCCGAGGGTTTTCCAACTGACTTCTCTCTTCCTCCTTCCCTTTTTCTGCCAGAAACGTGCCAGAAATCTCCCCGCTTTGGTGTAATCGAGCCAGGGGGTGTGGGGGGGACAGGGGTGACATTTAACGCCTTCCCATCCTCTTTTCCTTCTTTCCCTGCCAGGGAGGAGCCGGGGGTTGACCCTACGTGATGCTCTGCACATTTTCTGGTGGGTCTCTGGCCCCGGTGGAAGCTCACAGAGAATTTCCCAGTAAGTGGATTTATTTTTTTAATTTTTTTTTTTTTAAAGGCTTTCCATAAGCTCTGACACTGGGCAGTCCCTGGCACTGGGATGGGCCAAGGGTCCCCAATAACAAGCACTTGGGGGCTGATGTGAGACCACGGTGACCCACATTACGGGGAAAAAGAGGAGCCAAAAGCTCCACGGTTCCCACCACCTTCCTCGACGTCCACTTGGCCCAAAGTCTTGAACATCCACAAATTTTGTTCCATGTTTAACTTCTTTTATTGCTGGTTTGTTAACTCGTAATCCTCAAGCCCCGTGAGAGGTGTCTTTCCCACCCGTAGGAACAAAGGACTCCTTTGGGGTTCTTTGGGGTGGTTTTTTTCTGTCTTTTAGATGGAAAGAGGGTAATAAAGGTGTTTCTGTTGCTTTTGTTTTTAGCTCAGATGGGCTCGCTCTAACACGAACCCAGGAGTGGGGGCTGCATGGAAAAATCCCCAGAGCCACGAGACCCCAACCGTGTGGGAGCTGCCAGCAGGACCTGTCTTGAAGGACCCTCACCATGGCTGATCCCACTTGCACCCTCCTCCTCCTCCTGCCAGCAGACCCTGGCCCAGGGCACGGCGTAGACCCCGATTTCCACCACCATCCATCCAGGCTGCTCGAGGCCAGCACTGGGCATCTCTGGGGGGACACCAGCACCGGTTTGGGGACGGATGGGATGGAGAAGACACCAGAACATCCCCATTTCACTGCCACGCATCACCCCATGGGCAGCACCGGTGAGAGCGGGGTGGGATGTGGGTACCGCTGCGGTGGGGTCCATGGGGTCGGGGGGATGTTGCAGCATCGGGAGGTGGGGAGCACAGGTAGAGCCCGAGGCAGAGGTGACGGGCAGGGGGAGAGGGGCTGGGAAGGGACAGCTCGTTTATTAACGAGGCGCAGCTGAAGCGGGTCCTTTGCCAGTGGTCAAGTCTGAATCACAAACTCCGCATTGTTTCTGAGTGGGTTCAGCACATTTCCCTTCTTCTCCCCCTCCCTTCCCTTTTCCTCTCCTCTCGCCCTCGCACAAAGATGTCATTGTGCCGGGGACTTGGTGATGGCAGCGTTGTTATTTGGTCAAAAAAAAAAAAAAAAAAAACCAAAAAAAAAAAAAAAGGGGGGGGGGGGGGAGGGGGCGGTAAAGAAAAAGCAGTTGCTTATACCCTGCTTGTTAAACTGTCCTTTGGAGTGCTCTTGGCCTCTCTGTATTTATTTCCCTGTGGTAAAATGTGATTCTGTATGCTAGAAACTTAGTTTTGTGGGGAGGGGGGGACCCAACAAGGTGAAGAGGTTTAAATCAGCTTAGCCCAAATGCCAATTAAAAACCAAAGAGGATTAGGCTTGTGATCAGCAGAATAGACAGTCATTGTACCCGGACGAGGGGCTTTTCCCCCCAGGCCCGACGCGATCGTGCCGCAGGTCCCGCTGCCCATCGGCACCGCTCTCCTCGTGGTGGGACGGAGCGGGGCTGGGGCTGCCCTTGACCCCCAACTGCCCGTACCCACCTGGAGCGTTCACCCGTGGCATGAAGCAGCCAAAGCCCCTCAGGTTCCTGGTGCAAAGACCGTTTTCTTGCATTTTTTTAAGTCTATGTGATGACTCTTGCCTTGGCTTGAGTTCAGAGCAAGGGGACGTCTTGATGTCTCTGCCACCGGGAAGGTCTTCCCTGAAACATGCTCTGGCTGTGAGCGTGTCCTTCAGTAGTGGGCTGCTGGAGGGCCTCTGAGGTGGGGGCCTGTCCCAGACATTGTCCCAACCTTGCTAGATGTCCATGTGCTGAGAGATCTCACCAGCCACGGGACCAGGCTGTGGGGGCCATCGGTCAGATCCCCACTCCTGAAGCAGCCAACACTTCACCTTTTGTCCTGGGACAGTGGTGGAGAAATGCCAGGAGAGTTACACGTCTGTTCTCCAGCCAGTGGAGATCTAGAGAATCACAGAATCATAGAATGGTTAGAGTTGGAAGGGACCTTAAAGATCATCTAGTTCCAACCCCTCTGCCCTGGGAAGGGACACCTCTCACTAGACCAGGTTGCTCAAAGCCCCCTCCAAGCCTAGTCTTGAACACCTCCAGGGATGGGGCAGCCACAACTTCTCTGGGCAATCTGTTCCTTCTTCTTTCTTCTTCCAAAGAAGATGCCTTGGCTTGAGTTCAGAGCAAGGGGACGTCTTGATGTCTCTGCCACCGGGAAGGTCTTCCCTGAAACATGCTCTGGCTGTGAGCGTGTCCTTCAGTAGTGGGCTGCTGGAGGGCCTCTGAGGTGGGGGCCTGTCCCAGACATTGTCCCAACCTTGCTAGATGTCCATGTGCTGAGAGATCTCACCAGCCACGGGACCAGGCTGTGGGGGCCATCGGTCAGATCCCCACTCCTGAAGCAGCCAACACTTCACCTTTGGTCCTGGGACAGTGGTGGAAAAACGCCAGGAGAGTTACACGTCTGTTCTCCAGCCAGTGGAGATCTAGAGAATCACAGAATCATGGAATGGTTAGAGTTGGAAGGGACCTAAAAGATCATCAAGTTCTAACCCCCCTGCCCAGGTTGCTCAAAGCTTCATCCAAGCCTAGTCTTGAACACCTCCAGGGATGGGGCAGCCACAACTTCTCTGGGCAATCTGTTCCTTCTTCTTTCTTCTTCCAAAGAAGATTTTGTACTTCTCTCCACCATGGCCTGGAGATGATATCTTGATGCTTTCTGTCTCGTTTCGTCCTCCTGTGCCATCCACTTGCTGTTTTCATGGTTTGAGGTCTCATGTAGCCTGAAACCGTGGTCCCTGTAGCACCCTCACCTTTGGGAGAGGAACCTGGGAAGGGCGAGGTGGGTCTGGGTGCTCACTTGGACATCTGCCCATGTCCATCTCTACTAGTACACCAGTAAACCAGTAAAACCCCAGGAAGAGAAAGATGCTTTGTGCTGGCATGGCTGCTGTTACTGGGGTCAGGCTCTGTGGCCACGGTGGTTTTGTTCGTGATTCTATCAACAGAGCAGTGAAGGCAAATCCCTCTGTGGCCAACACGGCTACATGGGTCTACAAACTGGATGGCCACACCAAGGGTGTCTTTATATCACAGTGGCATCTTAAAAAGGGTCTTCATGTAGGCAGAAAGTATAATCATAAGCTATTTTTAAGGCTTTTTTTGAGGCTCTGTGGCCACGGTGGTTTTGTTCGTGATTCTATCAACAGAGCAGTGAAGGCAAATCCCTCTGTGGCCAACACGGCTACATGGGTCTACAAACTGGATGGCCACACCAAGGGTGTCTTTATATCACAGTGGCATCTTAAAAAGGGTCTTCATGTAGGCAGAAAGTATAATCATAAGCTATTTTTAAGGCTTTTTTTGGAAAGGAAAGGTGCAAATCGTAGGGGAAAGTCAGGCCGAGCAGGGAGATGTCTAAGGAACAACAGCAGCAAATCCTGGTGGAGCTTCATCCTCTAAATATCTGGGTTCAGGGTTCAGCCCAAGCCCCACTTTCTCTTCCATCCTAGTGCTGTCTGGTGGCTGGGGGTGTGAAAGAACTCCCTGCACCTCTGTCCCCCCTCTTCTTGGGGGCTCTGTGGGGTGAATCCTCCCTGCTAAGGGAGACCATCACCTGGCTGAGGTGGCCCTGGTGCTCGGTGGACCCCGCTCTCCTGCTTTGATGGGAACCCAGGGGTGGCCGTGATGGAGCTTGGTTTGTCCCCAGCCATTGCCAGGCAAAAGCTTGCAGAATCATAGAATGGTTGAAGTTGGAAGGGACTTTTAGGACCATCAAGTCCAACCATTAACCAAACACTGCCCAAACCACCATGAACCGATGTCCTTCCTGGGAGAAGCTGAGCTGAGATGTTGCCACCATCAGCTCAAGATGCAGAACGCCCCCGGCCTTAAGCCACGGAGAGGAAAAAGGTGGTGGACCCTGCTCTCCTGTTTTGATGGGAACCCAGGGGTGGCTGCTATGGAGCTTGGTTTGTCCCCAGCCATCGCCAGGCAAAAGCTCGTAGAATCATAGAACGGTTGAGGTTGGAAGGGCGGTGGACCCCGCTCTCCTGCTTTGATGGGAACCCAGGGGTGGCCGTGATGGAGCTTGGTTTGTCCCCAGCCATTGCCAGGCAAAAGCTTGCAGAATCATAGAATGGTTGAAGTTGGAAGGGACTTTTAGGACCATCAAGTCCAACCATTAACCAAACACTGCCCAAACCACCATGAACCGATGTCCTTCCTGGGAGAAGCTGAGCTGAGATGTTGCCACCATCAGCTCAAGATGCAGAACGCCCCCGGCCTTAAGCCACGGAGAGGAAAAAGGAGCAGAAGAACCTTTTCTCTGAAGAGCAGAAGAAGGAGATAGCATCCCAGCTCTGGACCAGGAGCCGTTTCTCCCCAATCCTGGGGACAATTTACATCGGTTGAGGGACCACAGGGATGGACGATGCCGGTGCCCAGGCAGTGGATGCTCAGGCAGGGTTTTGGGGCAGAAAGTGGGAATGCCGCAGAGAGAGGGAGACGTGCTTTAGGAGACAGGGAAAGGGTGAAGGATGTCACAGGCTGGAAGGCGTGATGCCACCACCATCCCCATGCCCGGGGATGCCCACCATCACCCAGGGCACGCTCAGCCCGTGTGGGGAGCGGGGAAGAGGGGCAAAGCAGGATCCCTCGTCCCCCCCAGCTTTTGTTGCCGCCGTGTAATTTATGATATGAGAGAGGGGCCATTGTCTGGACCCATCCTGTATTTCTCCGAGGGCTTTGCCTCTCTTCCCAGACCCCCGCTGTGCTCCGGCTACTGTACGGTTGCTATGGGACGTGCTCCCCGCGCCGCCGCTATGCGGGGCAGAGCCGGGGAGGGCTGCCCGCCGCCGACGGACCCATCTGGAGCCCCGAGCCCCGCTGCCCGCAGCCCCGACGACGTGCCGAGGGCCTGGGAATGGGGCTTTCGGTCCTTCCAAGTTCACGGCCACCGGAGGCATTCAGCTGCCGGAGAGGAGGGGAGGAGGGGGGGTGAAAAAAAAAAAAAAAAGGTCTCGGACTGCAGAATTATTTTTGTTGGAAACAAAGGGCAGTTAAAAACCTATGCTTCCTTCCATTCCACAAGCAGTGTCCTCGGTGCATACAGATCCCCCGTCCCTTTCTCCTCCTGACAAGTGCGCACATAAATAAATTACCCCACCGGGCGAGTGTGGAACAATCTGTCCCCTAAATTCTATTCATCGCCAGACAGGACCCATTATTCCCCCGATTAAAGCCGCTGGAGTAGCTTGCAAGGGTTACAGTTACTCTGTCAAACTGTAAATAAGACACTAAAAATAAAGGGCGCTGGCGAGGGAAAAGGGGGAAAGGGAAGCCAGACTAATGCCTGCTGCTAGGGAAACCGAATGAATCCCTAATGACGCCTGTGTACAAACTGCAAATAATGAAGGAAAAGTGACAAACAGACCTCGGCCGGGCTGCGGCGAGGGCCTCGCTCGGCGGCGGGGACCCGCTCGCTCCTTCCTCCGGGGAGAGCCATCGGGGAGCGGGACCCCCTTCCTAAAAACCCTTCTTTAATCCCTCGTGCTTAATTTAGGGCAAGGTTTAGGTCTTGCGGCTGCGTTTATTGTTCAGGCGTAAAAATCACCTCCTCTTGAGCCCGTTTTTTGAGGCTGCACAGGGAAAACATCCATCGCTTGTGGCTTCAGGGCAGCGTGCGGAGAAGCAGCACCCAAAACTTTAGAGTTCTGCTTTTAGGATCATTCCACGGAGCTCCGAGGTAGGACAGGGTTAGAAGTTGGGGGTTTCAGTCCCTCTGTCTGCCCTGGGAAGGGGGGATGTAGCCCTGGGTCCTTCCCACCCGCAGCAGGTCATCCATCTCCTAGATGGGGACCTGGAGCCTGGACCCGGCTCTGCTGCCCGTGGCCGTGATGGATTGCAGGGAAGGAAGTCTCCAGCCCTAGAAAGCCCTCTTTGGATAAAATCCAATTCCGTTCTTGCTGCTCTTTTACCAGCCAAGAGACGGGGATGTTCCCCTCACAGCAGGTCCTTCTTTTCCTTCTCTGATACCTTAAGAGGCAAAAAATTGTCAATTGTAGACTTATCTTGGGTTTTCCTCTGTTCTAGAGGGACTGAGATGTGAGAGTTTTATTTTAGGTCCAGCTTGAACTATTCCCATCAGCTAAATGCTGGGATGCTCGCTGTGTTCCTCAGGGAAATATTAATTTGATTTATGTTATGAAGCGTGTAAAAGATGCAGTGAAGGGAGCTCCGAGCTCTGCCTCTCCAGGTGGATGGATGCTCTCAAAGGGAGAACCCCAAGCAGAGAAAGTCTTTTTGCAGTGTTGGGGATCCGGAGCAGATGGGTCACTGGGCTGGAAACTGAGCTCTCACCCCAGGGTCTGTGCAGATGCCACACTGCACATGGCATCATGGAATGGTTTGGATGGGAGGGGACCTTAAAGACCATCCAGTGCCACCCCCTGCCCTGGGCAGGGCCACCTCCCACCAAACTAGGTTGCTCCAAGCCCCCTCAAACCTGCCCTTGAACTCCTCCAGGGATGGGGCAGCCACAGCTTCTCGGGGCAACCTGGGCCAGGCTCTCACCACCCTCACACCAAAGAAGTTCTGCCCCACATCTCAGCTCCATCTCCCTCCTTTCAGGTTAAAACCCGTTACATCCATCCTGGGACCTTATCTGCAAAAAGGACCAGGGAAGGGCATGAGCCATGAGGTGGGGAAGCAGTGAGATGCCAACCCCTGGGATGTGGGTGCTGCTGGACCCAGCACTCACCCATTCTCCCACCACCAGCAAAAGGGTCCCCAGGAAGAGGAGGTTTTAGAGGTGGGCTCCAGCTTTTCACAAAGCTCAGACATCTTAAAAGGGATTTTTCGGGCCAACTGGACCAGTGGGGAGCCCGGTTGCATTTCCCAGTCAGGTCAAACCTGGGCTTAGCAGATTTCTTCTCCTTCCGTCTTCAGAAAAAAAAAAAAAAAAAAAAAAAAATTTCACCCCCAATTGCTGTCTGTGAAGCCTCATGACTCTGTGGCAGCATTCCTGGGCTGCTCCCGACGCGGGGTGGTATGTGCAGAATTTCAGAGAGTGGCACGTAGCTCCACGTCTCCCCTCGGCTTCCCCGGCTGGACCCGGGTATTTGGGAGAAACTCCAGGAGGGAGCAGTGAGATTTATTGTTCTACAAACGACAGTGATGTCCCTGTAGCACCCACAGGCCCAGGGAGGTGTAGGTGTGTGGTGATGAAGGAAGAGGTGTCCTCCTGTCTCCTTTCTCCAAAATTTACCAGTTTTGTTGGAAAAAGGGAGAAATTTGGGGAAAAGTCTCATGGTCAGCTAGGGTTGAGCAAGTGAAACCCAAATCTGGGTTGTCCTGGTGCTGCACAGCCATGGAAATGGACAGATCTTCATGAAATCCACTCCTTGGAGGTTTTCTTCAGAAGAGTGATGGGCTTAGAGAGCCTAAACTCATCCTGGGAGAGGGTTTGGATCTCGGGCTTCACTCCCTTTTGCCTGAGGACTTGGGCCTGGAGCAGCTTCGGTGCTAGGGATGTTCTTGGGAACGTTCAGCTCCCCTTGAGACAGCATCAAGAATGTCAAGACTTCATTTGCCTCTCCCTGACTAAATCTCTTGGGTTGCATTGTTCAAGGTTTCTCTCCACCTGTAAAAATACGATTATTGCTATTATTTTTTAACAAAAGCTGTGATTCCCCTCCATGTTAATCACCCAGCTCCAGAATCTCCAGCTTTAGGATGGTGTTTTATGAGACTGGTGGTTGTTGGCCCTTGAGCAATGAATGTCCTGACCAGGTTTGCCCTTCAGCCGCCTGGAGAGATGAGGACAATCAGACGATCCTCAATATTAAATACCTTCATACCAGTTCTGAGAACATCCCATGCCTACCTGCCACTCTTTCTTTTCCTCAAAAATACCCAAACGCATTTATTTTCTGGTATCTACTGATGACTTCTAGATGTGGCCATAAACCACCCATTTTTCTCTTCCTTGGGCAGACTGTGGTTGCTCAGCAAGGTCCAAAGGGATGCTCGTGGAGGTTGTGGTGCAATCACACCACCGCCAGCCCCCTCCCCTTTCCAAGGACTAGGACTAGGCAAACACCTTCCCTCGGGTTTAATTCTGATAACCTGATTTTGGGGGTGTTTTCTGGCACACAACGCACACACGCTTGCAATAATAGCCAGGTAGCTTGCACGGCTAAATCACTCCGGATTTATATATTTATTTATTTATTTATTTATTCATTATAACCTCCTTTTAAAGCACGTTTAAATGCTTCCCCGCAGGCTCATGCGAGGGCTGTTAAGGGCTTCATTTGAATAAATAAGTGCGGAGGTGCAGGAGGAACATCACCATAACCCCCTGGAAACCCCAGCGCCGGCGACGGCATCAGAGGACCGGCGAGCGGGAGAAGGGGCCTCGGCGTTATATATTCCATAAAGTAGAGTAATTAAGTATTACTAGTTTTGATGACTTCAAACGGAGTGACTCCAGGAAATAAGCCCCTTCTTTATAATTAGTGGGATTTCCTCTGCATCAAACGGAGAGATTGATTCTTTAATCTGCTCACATGCTTTTGATTTGGTCTTTCAGCTGCTTGTACCAACTGCTTCCACTCCCTGCTCTTGCCGATAAAACCTCGCAAAGGAGATTTTAGGAAGGCATGACCTGAGTCGAGGTCCAGGATTTTCTTTGTGTGTGGCTGTTTTGTGTACTCTTAATTTGCCCGAGATGATGATCGTGATGATAGCAATAATAAAAAATAGACAGAGACACCCATTTTTAACATCCACGTATGTTTAGGGCAAATAATTGCGATTTGGGGGTGGGTTTTTGTTACTTTTTCTCTTCCCAGCACCATTATTAGCTCTTCAAGACCTACACAGGTCATTTTGGTGACCTGTCCACTGTCCCAAGTAGGTCTTACTGCAAAATCTTGCTCTTGGTAGAGAGCCCAGACCTAGCGCCAGGGTCTGGCTGGGCTTTCAGCATTTTGAGGGCTCTGTTAAAATAAAGACTCAATTTCTTAAGGACTTGGGACATGCAGGGGGAAGAAGCCCCTTTTCTAGACCATATAAATTGTTTTGTCCTGATTTAGGGCTAATCCCAGGAATTTTTGGAAACTCTGCCAGAAATCAAATCCCCCCAAATGTTGCTGCTTAGTTCAGGGGGGATCAGGAACTTGTTCCCCTGCGTGTGCAAGAAGCCAATGGTGAGCAACCAGCTCCATCCTGGGCATCTCCATGGGTTTGGTGGCCCCATACCAGTCATCTGGGAAATCCAGTCTGGGTGATGTGCTGGTTCCAGGCATGGACTGGACCTACCCGGTGGTAACCCACCTCCAAGATAGCTCAGATTTTCACCCATAGAATCATAGATTCTCTTAGGATGGAAAAGATCTTTAAGATCATCAGGTCCAACCATCAACCCAGGTACTGCCAAGTCCACCACTAACTTTCTTTCTGGCATGAGGTTCTCCTGGGACTGCCAAGGAGGGAAAAAAAAAAAAGGGGAAAATTTGGGATCATGTTGTCTTCCATACTTCTTTGGTCCTGTTGGAAATGTGCAGCGCGGGCAAGGCAGAGGCTCATGGTGCTGCACCTCGAGTGTGCCCTTTGGGTGACAATTGGAGGATGATGGCTCTACAGGGGGTTATTTTGGTGGTGGTAGAGCAGGAACTGACATCCCACCCACAACCCTTCCTTTTTGGTGGGGCTGCCATTGCTCTGGGTGTGTGTCTTGCACAAATATAGGGTGGGGAGGGCAAGCATGGGGCTGTCCCCACCACACTTTGGTGGCCAAGCATGGGATTGCCCCTGCTGCGGTTTGGTGGTCAAGCATGGGGTTGTTCCCATTGTGGTTTGGTGGCCAAGCATGGGGTTATCTCCATCTTGGCCTGGTGGCCAAGCATGGGGTTGTCTCCACCGTGGTGTGGTGGCCAAGCATGGGGTTGTCCCCACCACGGTTTGGTGGCCACGCATGAGACTGTCCCCACAATGGTCTGATGGTCACCAGCCCCACAAGGAGAAGCAATGGGAAGGGGGACAGTCATACTGGAGCCCACCTGGAGCCAGGAGAAGGCTGGGGAGCACAGGGGGAGAGCTGGGGAGCAGTTTAATATGCCCCTCGCAAAGCCTCCCCTCATCTGGAGCGGTGTCGAACACAGATCGTATAATTAGGGACCCGGTGAATACGTAACTGTACAATTATGCAAATAGTGATCAAAATCACTGTTTTCAGCAGAAATGCCTGAAGATCAAGACGGAAGCTTCATGCAACCTTAATTTAATCTGGTCCTGCAGGAGCGGGGAAGGTCTGATGGATGACCCAACCCCGTGTTCAGCGCGGCCGGGGTGGGAGGCGGGGGAGAGGAGGGAAAACGGCGCCAGGATCATCGCATCGTGTTGGCAAAGCAGGGAGAAAAATAGCAGAAAAGGAAGTGCTGGTGTTTACAATGATTTTTTTTCTTTTCATTTCAGGTGAAGAACACAAAGCTGGAAGGAGAAAAAAAAAAGAAAAAAGAAAAAAAGACAAGAAAGGAAAAAAAGTCTCCAAACCCAGGAAATCTGTGTTAATTGCTTATGAATGTCTCTGTCTAAAAAATTATCGAATTGATGTTGTCGTGCTTTTTTTTGACAGCCTGTCTGTTACATTTTTGTTTAAAATATTCATGCACCGAAATCTAATTACTAGGCAAATTTAATGATAATGAAATGAAGGCACTTTAGCAGAAAGCACGGGGCCTTGTTAATGTTTTCTCAGCCTCTGTCTTGTTCGTATTTTTAAAATATATATTTATTTTTTTTACAACTGCCTTTCTTGCGGATGGAAAAAAAAAAAAAAGGATTGCTGAAAATAAAACTTGGATTGCTGAAAATGTTTGTGGTGGCTCTGTTTATAATGATGGGGAATTTGCGAGGTGATTAAAGGTGTTTTGCAAAAATCAAATGAGCCTAACCTAATCAGATAAGGCAGATGAAATATTATTATTAGAGAGGTAACATTAAGAGCGTGCCTGGAGGCTTTAACGAAGACGAAGGCTTCTGGTGCGTTGTGCAGAGGCAGCAGCACCTTGGCCATCCTCTGGACCCCTCCAACCCCTTCTCAGGGTGTAGGTCTGGTTGTGCTGTCCCCAAGCCAGGCCTGGATGGATGGAGCATGGATGTGGTTGCTGGAGTGTGGCTGTGATTAATGGAGAATGCATGGGATAGGTGGAGCATGTATGTGATGGTTGGAGTGTGGACATGGTGGTTGGAGTGTGGACATGATGGTTGGAGCATAGACATGATGGTTGGAGCGTGTGCATGTGCTGGTTGAAGCATGTATGTGATGGATGGGGTATGTATGTGATGGTTGGAGCACGTGCATGTGATGGTTGGAGCATGTATGAGACAGTTGGAGCACACCTATGATGGATGGATCATACATGTGGTGTTTGGAGCATGCGCATGATGGATGAGCACACCTGTGGTAGATGGAGCACACACGTGATGGCTGGAGCATGTGCATGATGGTTGGAGCAGCATGTGATGGTTGGAGCACACATGCGATGGGTGGAGCACGTATCCCATTGTGCTCCGTGATGGTTGGAGCATGCATGATGGTTGGAGCACACATGATGGTTTGAACATGCGCATGATGGTTGGAGCACGGGTGTGATGGATGGAGCACACATGCGATAGTCAGATTATGCACCAAGCTCTTACCACCCCAGCTCCACCTGCTCTTGGTCTCTCCTGCACCCCAGCTGGGTGGGCATCAAGCAGAGTCCTTGCAGCTGGGTGGTGGCAACAAGCTGTGGTCCTACCCATGAGGAGATGACACCTGAGAGCTGTGAGCAATCAGGGCAGGGGCCAGCCTGGCTTCTGGGGCTGTTGCTCTATTTAAAGGATGGCATGGAAGACCTTTGGTTCCCTCTCTACCTTCATCTTGGCTTTTGACCATGCCAGCACTGGTCCTCCTACTCCTCAGATCTCAGGTTGGCCTTTGGTTTTGTTGTGCTCTTAAGGGCCCGGCTGTCATTTTGTTGATGCTGAAGGTTTTATTGGGGGTCTTAGTGACCCTGATCATCTTTGTAGGGTCTGCTCTTTTGGAAGACCTTCATGAACTTGCTTTTGCAGTGTTTGGAGTGCCCTGGTGAAGGTGGTGTAGGTGGGAAGGGGTTCAGAGCTGGACTGGAGAGGATGGGAGCCTCTCCCCCACAGAGTGGCTGGAGGCCCAGTTGGCACCGTGGGTCTCTTGCCCCTCAGATACCCCCAGCAGAGCTCAAAGCGTGATGTCTCCATGGTTCTTGTTCCCGTGTCCCTTGTGGGAATGAAGTGAGATGAGAATTTGGGACTTTGCAGACCCAGCTGTTAACATGGGTTGGCAGAACTGGCTTTTTTTTCCCCCAGAAATTCTGCTCTTTGTATTCTGGGAGGGCACTAGTGACAGCTCAGTGGATTTGCACAGCCAAATCAGGTCCTGAGGGAGGACCATGAAAGGCCAGGACACGTTTTGGACCTCTCTTGACTTGCAAACTCCCTGCTCCTTCAGTGAAGGTCCCTGCTTGGCTCTCCTTGCCGTGCAGACCAGCTTTCCTGGCTGTGGCAAACCTCTCAGAAGTAGCTCCTGGACCATGTTAATCCCCTTAATCCTTCCTGCAGCCCTTTCCTGCTGGTGATCGGCAGCTGAAAGGCTTCCTGATCCCAGCTCCGAGCTGCTGCGTTCAACTGTGGAGGGACCAACCTTCCCCAGAGGTGGAGGGAAGACTGTTGACACCCTTTGTGCCTCTGGTTTCCACCCCTCCTGCAGCAAAACACTTGTAGGGCTGAGAGGAGGGTGGGGAGAGGTCCCTGCCTGCCCCTACATCTGCAGATTTGGGGTCTGGATTTCCAGGTTTGGGGTGAGACATGCTCCTTCTGCACTCAAGGTCTTCTCCATCCTTCCTGAGGAGCCCATCCCCACCACCAGCGCGGTGCTTCTACCCCCTGCCCCGACAAAAAACTGGGGCAGGAGGGGTTTGGTGAGATGGGAAGGGGTTGCAGACTTCATTGAGAGGGTGGTTCTCCAGCTCCTGGACCCCCCCCAAATGCTTTTAATAAAGGCTTTTGCCCCCCCTTTTCTCTGCTTCTCCACCTCTTGTCTCCCAAAGTCCTTCATGGTGGTTGTTCCTCACCCTTCAGCTCATCTCCTGGGGTTTCCACGGGGGGAGCGGAGCCTTCCTGGGGGGGAGCAGTTTGATGCTCAGCTCTGAGCTGGAAAAACAACAAAAAAAAGAGATCCCTTTTCTGCGTGGACTCGGGAGCGATCCCGACCTGCCCATCCGCACATGGCCGTGTTTGTTTCACCCAGCGCGTTGAGCCGCATTTATCCTGCCAAAATGACAGTTTTCTATTAGAGAGCTGCAGCCCGGCACCATGATTATAATTGTCACTAATTTCTTTCTTTTGCAATCAGGTTCCTACCTTGACACACTGGCAGAAAATGAGGCAGATTCCACACACACTTACACCCACCCCTAGATTCCACATACACACACACACACACCCCAGGCAGGGCAAGGCAGGCTCTCAAAATGTTTGCAAAACCCTGATTTTCTGCAGGGGAAGGTTGTGCAGCTCCAGGGTGTCTGTGAAGAAATGCCCCATTTTGGTTTATAGTGAGAAAGGGACAATATTAGGGGGGACACAGACCACGGGACCCTTCTGAGGGGGCAGAACCTTCCATGGGTGTCCTTGCTGAGGGTAACCTGCTCCACCAGTTGAGGTTTTTCCTACTAAAACACCGTTAAATCGGTGTAAATTGGGCAGGGAGGCAACTGGTGGGAGGGGGGAAGGAGGCCGTGGGGCTGGTGAGGGTGTGGGGAGGAGGGGGGGAAGCACTTCCGAATCCCTCCTGCATTTCCAGCGGGGTCATGGGAGGAGAATTTGGCCCTCTTATTTATTTACTTATTTATTTATTTTAGCTTTAGCCTCTGAAGAGTGTGTTGCTGAGATTCCCAGGGGCTATTGCTTGGTAGAAGTCTCATGATACCCTCAAAAATATCCTCACACACACCCCCCACTTCACTCCCCAACCTGAAATAACTCGGTAAAACAAAGCAGTGGATTGTTCAGCCAAACTAAAATTACCAGCACGTCAAATAAAATATGTACAGCATTAAAATAAAATTTGCATTGCAATAATGCTTTATTAAGCACATTAGGAGATTAAAAGAATCAACCCCATTTGTTCCCATTCATGTTGTGGCAGGATTTGCATTTCTTCCCCCCCCCTTCCAAGTAGCCCCTCTCGTTTGGCGAGTGATTTTTCTCAGGGAACCTTGCAAAGATCCCCCCATCCCAAAAAAAGGATCCCCCCCCCAAGAAAAGATGTGTGTGTGTATATGCTGAGGGTTGGTTGTGGTGGTTGTGGGGTTTTTTTTTTTTGCTAAATCAAAGCACTTGACTCGGTTTGTGTGTTTGTCTGCCCGAGTGTGCGGCAGAGGAGGGGTGGAACGGCAAAGAAAAGATTTGTCTGCTCCCATTTCAGCTAAAAATGGTTAATTAAGACAATAGAGGCTATATAACAATTGGGGCCGGGGCCGTGAATGGTTGTCTAGACTCTATAGTTCAGCTCCAACTTCTCCGTCGGAATTTTAACTTGGCCGGGCTCGTTTCCCCTCCCCTCTTTCCCCGCCTCTCAGCTCATGTCCATAAGTTCCCTTTTCTCTTTTGTTTGTTTTTTTTTTTTTTTTTTTCTTTTTTTTTTTTTTTTTTTTTTTTCTTTAATTATTTTTTTTGCGGG